TCTGTAGTGTTGAATGTGACGTGCTTGCAAAATTTCAGGTCATTCGGACGAGGTTTGATAGACTTTTTGATCAGAAGCGTAATTTGGAAGTTTTTAGAATTCTTAGGCTTGAATTCGATGATGATTTGGTGTTTCGATGTTGTTTGAGGTGTTTTGAAGGTTGGTGTAAGTTTGGATAGCAGTATATGACTTGTTCGTGCTGTTGGTTGAGGTCCCGGGGACCTCGGGGTGATTTCGGATGGTTAACGGGAGATTTTGAGTTGGGTTTGACAGCTGAAGTTGTTCTATTGCAGTCATAACCACACCTGCAGATAGGGGTCCGCAGGTGTGGACTCGCAGAAGCAGACATGGAGCAGCAGATGCAGCCACAAGTGAAGGCAGCAGAAACCGCAGAAGCGGGAGGTGTACCGCACCTGCGCGACCGCAGATGCGGAATCTGGGTCGCATGTGCGGAGAAGGTGGCTTTAGTGAAAACCGCAGAAGCGGTTCCCTTGACCGCAGAAACGGTATCGCATAAGCGGAAATAGAGCGCAGGTGCGAAAAGCCTGGGTCAGAAAGTATAAAAGATTTCCTTCGCGATTTTTGGTCATTTTTTTCAATATTTCATTCGGGGTAAAGCTTTTGGGAGCAATTTCAAGGGAGATTTTCAGAGGGATTCATTGAGGTAAGGTCCTTGGTTCCTAAACTCGTTATTATGGTGATTTTTATCGTTATTAGCATGAAATTTAAGGGAGAAATTAGTGGAAAATTGGGGGTTAGGGCTTGGTTAATTGGAGCATTTTGAGTGGTGATTTGAGGGACCATTTGAGGTTCGATTTTGGTACTCTTGGTATGGCTGAACTCGTGAGAGTGTGAGGATCCCGAATTTGTAAATTTTAACCGATTCCGAGATGTGAGCCCGAGGGTCATTTTGGTCATTTTTCCTAATTTCGCGTATTAGCTTAGAATTAATTAGTGGAATCAGTTATTTGAAGTTTTATTTACATTATGCAACTGATTTGAATAGATCTGGGCCATTTGGAGTCGAGTACTCGTGGCAAGAGCGTGGTTTCAGGTTGATCTTGAGCTGGTTCGAGGTAAGTGGCTTGCCTAACCTTGTGGGGTGGAACTCCCCTTAGGATTTGGTATTGTTGATATTTGAAATGACTTGTACGTGAGGTGACGAGTGTGTACTTGTGCTAATTGTTGAAAATACATTTCATTAAGTAACTATAATTGTGATTCCTTTTCCTGTTTATACTGCTTGTAATTTAAGCCTACTGTTAGCTTACGGAAGCATGTTTAATTGACTTAATTGCTTTACTTGCTCAAACTGCCTTATTTGGATTACTTGCAGCATGCTAGGTTAGAAATACCTATTTTACCTTGGTATGAAATTTGAATTGAATTGAGTATTCTTCGTGTTGCTGCTGTGTGTTTACTTTAGGACTACGAGACGGTATCGCGAGAGATCCCCCTGCCTGTTTACTTTGGAACTATGGATTTGTATTCCGGTAGACTCCCCTGCACTTTTATATTGGAACTACGTGACTGCACCCGGTATATTCCCCCAGTACTGGGTATTTAGATTTGGGATCACGGATCGGGATTCCGGTAGATCCCCGCACACTATGAGTTGGACTATGGGACGGTATCCCAAGAGATCCACTGGATATTATATTTCAGACTACTGGACGGTATCCTGGGAGATCCCCGGTTGTTATCTCTGTGTTGAGCTGTACTCTTTCCGTGAATTCTTCTGTCGCTGTTATAGTTGTTGTTATTCTTATTATCCTGTGTTACTTCATACTGTTAGCATTTAATTATATTGTCGTATTCTATACTGTTTTACCCCAATGTTCAGCTAAAATCAGTAGGGCCCTGACCTTCTTCGTCACTACTCGACTGAGGTTAGGCTTAGCACTTACTGAGTACCGCTGTGGTGTACTCATGCCCTTTCTGCACATGTTTTTCATGTGCAGATCAGGTACTTCGACTCAGCCCTACTACCCTTGAGGCGGGGTGATCCATCAGAGACTTCGAGGTATGTCAGCCGCGTCCGCAGACCGAGGAGTCCCTTTCCATTTTCTCTCATAGTATTAGCCCTTATGTATTTACTTTTGTTTAGACACTCTGGAGTTAGAACATAGTAGTTATTTCACAGCTTGTGATTTCATGAGATTCCGGGTTTTGGAAAATGTAGTTCAGTTTGAGAGTTGTATTGTATATGCCGAGCGGCATCTTTAAACCTTCACTATGTTTATTCCGCAAGTTTTTATTTGTTTCATTCTGTTGTTTCTTTTTCGCAATTTGTTAGGCTTACCTAGTCGTAGAGACTAGGTGCCGTCGCGATAGTTCACGGAGGGCGAACTGGGGTCGTGACATCCCAACTGGTCAAATCGCTACCAGTAAGGTATATAATATTTAGACTAAAAGTATTGTATGAAAAAGAAAGTAATGGTTTAAGAGGTGAGCCATCAAGTACTACTACTAGTTCCAATTTAATGAGAATATAGACTATAAAATATACCTGATAGAATTATACTTATGACATTAAATGAAAATCATCCAACTAATAGAAAATATGAAAACAAAAATAAATCCAATTTTTCTTGATTTCGGATATGGATAAAAGCATATAATAAGATAATTCAGTCCTCATTAAGAACAATTGGTTGTCAAGCCCAATAATGATAGTAATGAAGGTTGCTTAATAAATATAATATTTATATCACCAAATAAAAATGAGTTGTCCAAAATACATGATGAAAAAGTAATTTTAGGTAACACAATATATTGATCAATTAAATGAGATATTAATTGTCAAGTTTTTGATGGAAGCAAAATGTTTCTTAGTTTTGACTTCACTTAAGATGATACCAGCAACTACTATTATAGTATTATTAGGAAGATATTTAGAGCCCGTTTGGACATAATTTTTTTTTCGTTTTTTCCAAAAAAGATTTATTTTTTTTCGAAATCAGCGTTTGTTCATAAAATTTTCAATTTTCACTTGAAGATGCATTTTGGAAATTTTTGAAAATTTGAAACACTCCAAAAGCTGTTTTTCAAAATTTTCACTCAAATCACTCATAAAACTTCAAAAACAACCCAAACTGAAATTTATGTCCAAACACAACTCAAAATTTCAAATATCATTTTCACTTGAAATTTTTTTTCTCCATTTTTTGAAATTTTACAATTCTTATGTCCAAACGCCTACTTAAATACTTAGCAACAAATGACCCTTCACCATATAAGCTCCTTGTGACAAGATAAGAACTTAATAATCAAATGGGTAAAGTGACATAATAAAGCGAAAAACGCTTGTTATATGAAGTTATAGCAATAAATATCTTTTCAACTTATCTTTTAATAATATCGAGAGATATACGTGCAAAGCGCGTACATAAAAATTAGTAAGTTGAAAAAAATGCAAATATAAGCTAGTTAGTAACAATCTAGACTTGTCTGAACCAACTATTAAAGGAGTGTATAGACAAACCATTTAGATAGTTCACGAGCAAATATGACCCTTTTCCTTAAATCTGTAGATTGAACTAAACGCATCTCCTCAGAACTATACTAGCCAAAAGACCTTTCCATTCTCCTTAGACCAAATATTCGTTGATAATTTGATATAAGTGCTAAATTATTATTTATAGACATCTTTACAACGGAAGCAATGTACTTTTAACTAGTCAAAATAATTAGATTGATATTGGTATTTATTTTAACGTACTTAATGATTGATAACTCTCAAGAATATTAATTATTAAAGTAATGAATATAAATTAACTATCGACTTTTATCACAATTTTATATGCTAAAATAACAAAAGTAATCATATAATTCGATCATGTAACGGCCATGCTAAATTTTATAGTGGCAGCAAGAAAAAGCCTTATGGTCCCTAAAAGTGTATTTATAGGGATGAGATTCTATTGGGTTCTTAATACGGAATTTTATTTTCTAAATACATGACCAGACTAGGTCTAGTTTGTTTGTACTTAATGGGGCTCTAAATCTTAATTATTCAGATCTCAGATATCAAGTGCGTTTATTTTTTAAATCTGAATCTTAATTTTTCAGATTTTAATCATTTAGTGTGTTTGTTTTTTTAAATTTTTAGTCACTTAATGGGTCTTAATAGGTCTTAATGATTAAGATTTATAACAAAGACTTCATTTCATTAAGATGCTATTATCCACACTCACTACCAATTGTCGGCACCACCCACCATTATCAGCTACCACCATGCACCACACTCAACCACTACCGACTACTACCAAACTCAAATACCACCACTGACAACCACCATCCTCAACCATAGCCACCATTGCATTATTGATTGCCATCACCTCCAATCCTACCATTATCAATTACTACCACCTACCATCCCCAATTATTATCAACTAATGCTGCCACCATTATCCTCAACCATAACCAACCAACCACCTACCTCAACTACCACCATCAACTATCCCACCCCCATCATCAACCATAACCACCATTGTCCAGTATTATAAACTACCACCAGCCATCACTACCTTCCTCAACCATAACTATCACTACCAATCACGACTAGCTACTACCTACAACGACCACCATCAATTAAAACCACTACCTCCGGTCAACAGCTACGCCACCGTCTGCCATCACCACCACCAACTACCATATTATTTAAAGAAAGAATATATTAATAGTATATTAAATTCATTAGTACTTTATTTAAAATTTTTATTTATTAATTTTTAAATAAAATAAATTTTAACATTCAGATGTAAAAAAAATAAACAGTTTTCATTATTTAATATTCATATATTAATACACATCTTAAATATTAAAATATGTATTCAAATTTAGACGTTTTAATCTTAATATTTATGTGATTAAATTCAGACGTCTTAAACGATAAACAAAAACAAACGAGGTATTATTTTGATCTATACAAAAGTTAAGATATGGTTTCTAATACTCGATTTCAGCGGGATAGGGGCGCGAACCTGATGAAATTGAAGTAAAAAAAAAAAAAAAAAGAGAAAAAGGAATGCTCAAAAAATTTACTTTCACGGTAAAATCCCTCCAGAAATTCACTCACCCTAAATCCCTCCAAAATTCACTTCACTCTAAAATCCCTAAGCGGCGAATTCAGAAGGTTGCAAAGAACTCAGAAGGTTTGGTGTCTAAAATTCATCTCTCTCCAAGCGACTTTACACAAAATCTACCATTGGATTATCCGCCTAATCAAGAGTAAGTTTAATTGGGTTCTACAATTTTCTGTTTCTATAGTTGTTTTCTGCTATTGGGTTGTTTTTAGTACTGATAGTTATTGTGTGAGTGATAAAAGTGAGAGTATAGGGTTTGAAGTTGGGGCACGTAGGTCAAGGAGGAGAAATTTGAGTTTTTCTTGTAGAGTTTCGTCTATGCAATGGTTTTCTCCTTTGCGATTTGCATTATACAATTCTTCTGGGGACTTGCTTGAAGGGTCATGAAAATTTTGTAGGATGTCTTGTGGTTTTTCATATGAGGTGATGAATTGGTTGATTTTTTTTTTATATTACCATTAGGTGCTCTAGTTCAGTTTCTTTACTCTGATTTTTATGGGTTCTTTGAATTGTATAGCCAACTTATTACCTCTGGTAAGTCTAATCTTATATTTTGGAAAAATTAAATGAAGAAGAAACAGTAATGTAAATTAGCTTTGTTAAAGTATTTTCCATGTCAAACAAATTTTCTGATGAAAACATTCCATTGAGTTCTGCCACTGAATCCATTTAGTCAATAGCACTCTAGTTGGAGTGATGGACTCACTCGTCGAAGCTCTTCGCTGTCAATGCTTGCATTTATTCTGTCGCAAACTACTCCCTCCACAATAAGGTCAATGTTTTGAGCATTATAATATAGGCTCTATTTTGATTCTAGATATAATGTAAGTTTTATTTTGATTGAAAAAGAATATTTTTGATGGCTCGGAAAGTAATGTTCTTCACTAAATTAATAAATCTCAGTGCTTGTTTCTCAAGTAGCTGAAGAAAAATAGCATTTCATGTTATTGTGCTTACCTGTAGGTTCTTTAGTTGTCATTAGGATATGGATGAACGTCATACTTAAATGTGTCGAAGTCCTGTTGGAGTAAGTACCGGTGCTTAGGGGTTAAGTTGTGTGGTGTTAACCTTTTCAGCTACTTGATCGCCACTTTCTGCATTCATTTTCTGCCAACATATAACTTGGAGAGATTTTATATAGATGGTAGTTGGAAGTTTAGAATGTTGACTTAGAATTATCAGGGGAAAAGCTTGACTTAGGTGGCATAAGTTTAAATGACGTACTACTCTTTTGTCTTTCATAATGATAACGATACTCTAAAATTCTTCTTTCGTGAACTACTCTTCCTTGTTTAAAAACTGCTTAATTATGCTGTGATTGAAATGGTTTATTTTTCTTCAAATTACAAACAAAATACATAAGATATATGCTAAATTGTTGCTATCAAGCGACCAACCTCAACTGTTCTTATAACAACAGTTATATCTCAGATTCTCACTCTCATATTCTACTAATATCATAGTATATGTCTAAAATGATGTTCATCAGATCAAACATATCATGTCTACTAAGACATAATCTATATCTTGTGAAGGTTAATTTAATACGTTTGTCGTTGATGATTTCAGAGGAATGGTTATTTTAGGATTCATATTTCCGAACCAACTTATAATTTGCAATCGAGGAACAGTTGGAATTTTTATAATGATAAATCATTGATTTTACACGATCTTTGTTGTTCACAGTCTTCTATATTACCTTAATATTATACTCTTTGGCAAAAGCATAGCTCATAATTCTTTTTCTGTCTCAACAGTGTGATTCCGGCTCAACAATGGCAAACAGTTAATTTAGAATGAATGAAGAGTCAATGTGATTATTTCATACTAATAGTTAATAGTAATAAAATATTCATTAGTATAGCCAATTAATTAGGTTAAGGAAATCTAAGTAAAAAGTATCTATAGAACCAGAAGTGGCAGTCCCTCAAAGTTGATCAGCAACAGAGACTTGTGTGTTGGTATGAGATATTCTCCCTACTTTACATATCAACTTAGCTACTGTGCACCTTTAACACTTTAAAATATATAGTTTACACCAGACGCAAATGTCATTTTGCATGTTTCAATTTCAAATTCAGTTTGCAGCCACTACATGGGTATACGAATTTCTCCATTTGTTTGGTTTTTTCCTTCTTTCACAATGAAAACTGAAGTGACAAAGCAGCTAACTATAGATGCAGTAATCCTAGTGGGATTTGAAGGTGGAAAAGAAGATATAGAAGGTGCAGAATATAGCTAGAGTAAAGTGACAAATATATAGCTAGTTCTTGATCAAATGAAGCTAATTCTTGATTAAAAAAAATGACAACTATAGCTAGTGTCTCATAAGATAACAATCACTACACTTTTTTTAACAGTTAAATGATGGGTGTTTTTATATTTTCCCTCATGTTTGCATCAAAATAACAAAAAAGAAGCAGCAAAGACAAGCATTTGAATACAAAAAACCCCAGATACGTATGCTATTTTTTAAGTAAATACCTAAATAAAAATCAATTCTTGATTGGTGGAAGTTTTCACTTGCTGTACAATTGAAAAACCTCAAACTCAACGACCTTTTGCTACTTCTTTACGGAGATTCTTGAAATGGCGAAGTAGTAGCTCCAGATCTTTGAGGCTGTGAGACAAGGTAAAACGTCGACGTTTTGACATTTCTGAAAATATACTACTAATTTTACTCTTTTCCTAAAAAGGTACTATACCCTCAGTCCCAATTCATGTACTGTATAGGGTTAAGGTTAAAATACTTAATTTTTTATGTGAATTGAGGTGTAATGTTTTTTATATTTTTTAAAATTAATTTTTATATTTGATCACATGAAAAGTACTACAACTCGATATGGCTAATGAATATTTAAAAAGGTTTGAGAAACTTATAGTAAAAAATTATTTGACTCCCTAAATAGGTTTGCTAATTGACTCCCTAATAATGATCCATGATTTCATTATATAAGTTCAACATTTAACATTCATTCGTTGAACACCTAATATATTTAAATTTTTTTTTTATTTTGTATTCGTTGCAATTCTAGTTAATTTTTACACATAAATTTATGCTCGCACAAAAAAAATACTAGATTCAGATGAATTCGGCACTAACAAACTACACCCGCCTTTGATTACCTTTGCATAAAAGATGAAGGGAGTATGTGACATTTCATATACTCCTAAAAATACTGCTTCCTTTGTTGTTTTGATGCAATTGGTAGCATACTCCCTTCATCTTCATATTCATAATGATTTCTCATATAAAAGAAAAAAAGGGTGTTTTGGGTATAGTGATTGTTTTACTGTGGCATTTTTGTGGTACTTGTTGAAATTTAAACTTAGGTACAAGGAAACAATTTTATTGTTACTAGCTTTGTTAGTTCCTTCCTATAAAAAACAAGTTCTTTTTGGTTGTCATTATGTAAATTGTTTATTTTCTCTTTGATATCTAAAATGGATTAGTTCTTGCAAGAAGTTTTAGGGGAAAAATTTGGTAATTAGCTTATTTGTTCAGCTATATAAATTCATCAATGTAAATTAACAAGGGTTCTTCATCGGTGGAATCAGGTATTCTGTACAGTTTTAGTTATTCCTCCCGTCCCAAAAAGGATGATACTCATCGGATTTCTCGAGTCATACGAATTGTTCTTTGACCGCAACTTTTTCATATGCCTTTTAAATATTTTGAATTGTTAATTATTATGACTTATACTACTTTTTATGTGGTCTCCAACCATGTAAACTTTATTTAAAAAAACTTCACGATTCTATGTCCACATTTGCGTTCGAAATTAAGTTGTTTAACTCTCGAAATCCAAAAAGTATCATCCTTTTTGGGATGGAGGGAGGAACATTTTCATATTATAATTTGTCTCTGGCTTGGCGTTCCCTTTATTCTGCAAAAAAATTGCAGCGATTTAAGACTTGAACTTTGTTCATATACTCTTGGTTCGGTGTTATATGATGCATGTACTAAGAAATACAAAGGGGGGGGTCTCATTTGAACTGCTTTCTTATCGACCTTGTTTTGTTTGGATTAGAAAACAAGATGGGGGGAGTGTTTTTAGGCATGCCAGGATCGTGGGCAGGTCATATTCACGAAGCTGCTGATCATTATACAACAAAAATCGGTGGACTTCCTGTAAGAGAATCCTTCTGGATACGGCATAGTTTATTTTTAGATGATGCTTTCTTTGTTGTATTATAATTCTAATTTTTTTTCTTGAACAGGATTGGCCTATTCCTCTTCCTACCACATGTGTCGATTTGCTCAAATGCAGTGCTTGTAAAACCGATTTATGTCTTCTTGCACAGGTTGGTACTCTGAAACCATTGACTAATTTTTACTTGGATTACTTGGATTTTTAAAGCTCTAGAAGTTTTAATATACTTTTCTCATTGCATTTGTTTCCTTAGGTTTATGCTCCAATTTCAAAGAATAATTTGAACATTGAAGAGCGTGCAATCTACGTTTTTGGTTGTCTGACGCCAGATTGTGGGAGCGCTCCTGTAAGGTCTTTTTTTGGTATTCAAACTTATTTTTTTGTAAAAAGCTTGGGAACTTAGTGATCATTTGGATTTAACTTCTGTGGTCTATCTCTTACATTTCCGTGACAGCTGGAGAGCTATTAGAATCCAAAAGTCCCTAAGCAGTGAAGGTTTAAAGAGCCAGTCTTATAAGGATGGCGCTTCACCTGTATCAGATTCAAAGAAAGACTGGAAGAAGGATATATGGACATTTGACTCTTCAGAAGAGGATGATGATGATGAAGATGACGATGACATTGATCTGGCTGAGTTGGCTAGGGCACTTTCTGAAGCTGCAACCGTGGCTTCTCACTCCAAGAAACAAATCCGTGGTCATGAAGTAACAGCAGAAACTTCATCCCCTGACCGTGCGATTAGAATAATTGATGAAAAAACACTAGGTAAGTTCTGTTCTGTTTTTCTCGACGGTAATTGCACTTGATAGAATCATTTGTTAGCCGCCCTTCTGTAGGATGTGTATAAGTTGTCTTTATTTAACTTTGCATGATAGAAGATGAGATCAAACTATTTACTGGGTGCAGTCAAGTTTTTTTTTTCCTCATAAATTTAGCACTATGATAGAGAACACTAAAATTGAAAAATGTTATTCATAGATAAAGAAAATGGCATGTGTTATTTGTAAAACAATATGTAATTTGTTCATTGCTTTTCTTTTGGGGGGAGGCAGTTGGTGCTCGTTCTTGATAGAAGAGCTAAGTAGATCGATCAAGGGCCCAATGCTTGTATTTACTTACTGTACAAAAAAGTCGTTGAGTTGCTGAGGAGTTGACAGCTGTCAAAAATTTAGGTCTTCATAGGCTATTATCAAGTGTTTTCAATGACATGAGTTATGCAATTATCACTGGGAGTATCACTTGTATGATTACTTTATCTTTCTGCGTACTCTGAAATGATTCTTTGGTCGCAGTGATTCCGTGCTTCTATATATATGCTGAAGAAGAGAAATTTTTCAAAAAGGATGTTTCTGTCAGTTCAAAAGGCATCTTATCTCCAATCAAGGACAAAGAAAATGATCCTGATACTCCAGAAGAAACATGGGAGGTGGAAGATTACGAGTATGATAGGGCATTGAATGCTGACCGGGTTTACCTCAAGTTCAAAAAGCGATTAGATGCATATCCAGAGCAATGTTTCAGGTAAAACTCTAAAAAGCTAGCCATTGTACTAGTGAATTCACTTTTAAGTATTGCTGCCAGGAACTTAATGTTTTGCTTGCTGGAATAGACTTTGAGAAGCAAAATCTCAGTTTTATTTACCTTTTTATTTCCTCCAAAGCATTAAGCAAAGTCCAAGTTCAATGTGCTTTTGATTTCTTGAAGTATGTAGTAAGCTTTCTGCCTTTCCTGCAGCTCTTCAGCTTTCGGCTTTGATTACCTTATTATCTCCAATTGTAGCGTATTACTATTTGTACAACTTAAATTACATGTTCGAGTCTTCTCATGTTATTTGCTGCTGTATCATGTGTACATTACTGAAAAGGTTAGTTGGGGCAGCCACGATAAAACATCTTTCCTCTTATTTATTTGCATCGTCCACTGCACTTCATCCTGCCAAGATTTTCTCTCTATTAATTAGATATCGTTCCGGAAGTTGTTGCCTGGCATACTGTGAGATTAATTCTGATCGTACATTGGAGAACACATCTTACGTTGTACATTCAGTTTCCTCACTGGGCACTTTTTATTTGTCCACTGCACTATCTGTCATTTTTTGGGGGAGTATCATACTTTATGCCGAAAAAGGTAAATAATATAAAATTGAGTAAATACAGAGAGTATCATATAGTTCTCTGTTGGTTTAGGAGTCCTTTTCGCTTCTACAGCACAAGGTTTCTTTTATTTTTACCTTCTTACATCAGTTAATCAATAAATTAGCACCAATTTCATTATCAGTGACTTTCATCCTTACTAAAAGAGACTCTTTATTGTCTTTACACGTAGATACTCATATGGTGGAAAGCCGCTTCTGGCTTCTGGAAATGCTGTTGATCCGGGGACGTGCAGGCTCTGTGGTGCGTCACGTCAATATGAGATGCAGCTGATGCCGCCTTTGCTATATTTTCTGCAGGAAGCAGTCAGCGAGAAAGAGAGACCTGTATTGGATAACTGGAATTGGATGACTTTAATAGTCTATACTTGCTCACAGGTCAGCTTTTAACTCGATATGTTGAATACATGTTCTTTTGGAAGAAAACTCCCTCTCATTTTTTTTTTCCAATACTTCCCTCTTTAGTTCTTGAAAAAAAAATCAATCATTACTATGTGGGAGTACAAATAAAGAAAGACAACTTATTCTAGGATTCTTGGTCGATGTATCATGTAAAAGAGAAATGAAATGTCATATTGAAAGAGCAAAACCAAACCTAAAGCAATAAAATTAAGAGGTGGGGAAGTAAGAAGTTGAATTGAAGGAAAACTGTAATAAGTTTCTGACTTTCTACTTCAGCTTTTCATTTCTTCAAATGTATCTGCCATGGAACTGTTTTCTGCAGTTTGAATTAAACCGTTTCCTCTTAATTCTTTCTTTGTGCAAGTGAAAGCTGTATCGTCCTCTTTTTTTTTTTTAAATTGTGGACGATACTTTATGCTCTCTATTTTTCCTAGTTCTTGTTGTAACCTCATGGTCTGTGTCGTTTTCAGAATTGTTCAGAGTACCGTCTGGATAACTCTAGTGAGGATGGCTGGATTGTCGCTGAGGAAGCTGTTGTCGTACAATATGAATAGCATTGCTTAGATAAGCCTAAAGATTACTGTTTCGTAAGGTTTTGTGACTTTTAGTATATTTTCGTCGTACTTGGTCTATACTAGCAGGGTTTTCAGTCAATAGAGCCGAGGGTGGCTTTCGTTTTGCTTATATTATTTTCAGAGTTTGCTGGTAGTTGGTAAGAGTTTTATATACTTGAGATGTAAATTGTCAAATGTCCCAAATAAATTGGGTAGGCAATACAATTATATCTGTTGTTTTAAACAATGCTGATTCTGCGTGGATTCTTTATTTGTAAGTCTCCAGAATTTGGTGTGATTTTTCGTAAGTTGAGGCCATCCCATTTCGTTCATTCAATATATACAGTAAATAATAAACAATGTATCATCCTCAAATTGAAGAAGAAATAGAGAGAATGACCACCGCGGTAATACGTACAGTAAATAAATACGATTCATCCATGTCTAACTTCTCTGGATTCGTGTTGAGAAGTCCCGCTCTTATGGTAATGCGCTGATTTCATGTTAGGATTCAGCTCGAGACTTCTGATAAAGGATAATGAAGTACTAACTATACATTATTGAAAGCATGCGACTATAAAAAAGGAAATATGCATACTATATCACCACTTTCAAAATAATAGCTAAACAATTGTATGTTTTTTACAGTAAATAAATACGATTTATCCATGTTTAACTAATCTGGATTCGCATTGAGAAGTCTCACTCTTGTGGGTAATGCGCTGATTCCATATGAAGATTCTAGCTCGAGACCTCTAATAAAGGATAATGAAGTACTAACTATACATTATTGAAAGCATGCGACTATAAAAAAGGAAAAATGACATTGTACAGCCACTTTCAAAATAATAGGCGGAAAATTATATATTTTTGTATATATATACATTCTGTATGTTATATACAAAAATTACACAAATTTTATATATTTTTTCGGCTACCAAATATAAATAATTTATGGCGCGGGCTAAAACTGATAATGCCCCTAAAAAAGGGGGCAAATTAAGTGAATACTGTCTGGATACAGCTGATAGTTGATTTTCTTTAATTTTGTTGTTTTTAAAAGCACATGCACTCACAATGGTAGGCTTTAGAGTAAGTTAGTTATGACCAATTCACTCATTTGACCAGTTTCAATTGCTTGCGGGCTATGAAGAAAGTAACATTCTTTCCTATATATTTTTTTTCAGGAAAAAATAGCTTAATTATGTAATAAATATAGGTGGCGCCATTGGGAGAGAGAATATCAATTGAACGATGAAAATAAAACATAGCAGGTCATACTTAGAAAATGGATAAAATGGCCAAGTACTATAACAATAAGGATTTAATCTGATATAGTGAAAGTGTTAATTCTTTTTGCATGTTCAATATAGTTTAACCTATTATAACATATTAATATATTTTTTTAATGTTACTGTTGGGCCTCCAAAGCCAAACACTTAACTTGGCCCATTTCTTTATTTATTCTATAGATAGTCTTGTATAGATAGCCATTCTTTGTACTGTATTAAAGTTAGCCAGATTTAATAGCTTAGTCTCAATACATTGTATTAGTTTTGTAAACATTGTGGATTAGGTCTGGTGAAGTATAAATAGTCTGAGGCCCAACTGTATTGAGGGGGCCGACCATTTTCTCTCTTTTCACTGCCTCGTTTCTATCTTTTTCTCTCTGATAAGAAGCATTAGAATCCCTAATCTCCATTGACAAATTCTTCGAATGAGCTAATGTCTTCTGTGTTATCATGGTACAGAGCAGGAATGGGCCAGTCCTTGTCTCTATTGAGCATTGTTACCCTGACATGATTTCGTCAAGTTTTCACTACCGTCAGAGTTTGCTGGTTTTTCGTTGATTTCTCGACAGATAGCTACTTTTTTTTTTTGGTTCGATTTTTTATTACTGACATCGGAGAAGCTATATTAGTGTGAAGTTTCCTTTTTTGATCGAATTTTGGTTACTCAGAGGATTCAGTTAGTTGATTTTGTTGGATTAGGGTTTTGCTTGGTGCATTCATCAGAGTTTTGCTCGTCTTCCGGGCCTTACTTCTCCAGGTTGCGAAGAAGGCCGGTATTATCTTCTCTTATCTGATTTCTTGTCTGCGGTGTTTTGTGTTCTCATTTGTGACTTGTTGCCGTGAGTTGTTGATTGATACTTCCTAACTGTTATCATGGGTGGTTCTAGTACATCTTATGCATATACTTCTGAGCCTTCATCTCCCCTGTATCTCCAATCTTCTGATGTTCCCGAAGTATCCCTTGTTCCTGTACCATTCACGGGGAATGGTTTTGGGGGATGGAAGAGTAGCATGATAGTTTCTCTGTCTGCTAGGAATAAGATAACTTTTATTTATGGTTCATGTCCCAAACCTACTGTGACTTCCCTTGATTATAAACAATGGGATCGCTGTAATAACATGGTTATATCATGGATAACTAGCTCGTTGTCTTCAGATATAGCTGAAAGTGTTCAATACTCTGAGACAACTGAAAGCATTTGGAAACAATTAAATAATAAATATGGAACTGTAAATGGTACCAAAGTATTTGAATTAAAAAGGAATTAGCTTCTACTTATCAAGGATCCCTCGATATTGCTTCCTATTTCACCAAACTTAAAAGAATATGGGATGAGTTGGGGGTAATGTGCAGCATTCATGCAAATACTTGTACATGTGCTGCTAAAGAAGGTCTTCAGAAGGAGAAAGAGGAGGATAAAGTCCATCAGTTCCTCATGGGACTGAATGAGGTATATGTGGGTGTTAGAAGCAATTTGCTAATGATGCAACCTTTGCCATCTCTTGACAATGTCTACAATATCCTCCTACAAGATGAAAAACAAAGACAAGTCAATCCCGCTACATAATTTACTTCTGAATCAGCATCTTTCAATGTCAATTCTCCAAATAACAAAACTCTTCAACCACAAATTAATGTTCAGGGACATCAGAGACAATTTAATTAGAGAGTCATTTTTGACCAATCTAGGTCTAACCTCTTTTGTAAGTACTGTAAGAAATCAGGACATTCCATTGATAAGTGTTTCAAGCTTCATGGGTTCCCCCCCCCCCCCCCCCCCCCACATTTTCAAGTTCACTAAAGGGAAGAAAGTAACTACCAATGTGGTTATGGACTCTGATTTCTCTACTCCTGAGTGTTCTTCTCCCAACCAAGCCCTTGTTCCTACTGCTAGTTCTAATGAACATGGTTCTAGGGTGCCTGGGTTGAAAAAGCAGCAGTATTCTCAGCTGATTTCATTGCTCTACAATTTCATACCTTTGATTCTGGACCTTAACTAAACATTATGAGCTCTGCCAATTTTGCTGGTGCTTTACTGCCTAAGAATGTAGTATATAGTTTTAATTCTACTCTGCTAAGTCAATTCGATTCATTAAATTAGATAGTTGACTCTGGTGCATCAGATCACATGACCTCTAATAAATATTACCTTATTAATCTCACACCTTTACCTATTCCTTTCCTTGTTTCCCTACCAAATGGGTACAAAGTTAAAGTCACTTGCACAGGTTCCTTTGCCTTAACTGATTCCATTATTCTTAAAAATGTTCTCTATTTACCTTCTTTTAAACACAATCTCATTTTTGTACATAAACTCACGGATCAATTTGATTGTATAGTTCAGTTTACCAGACTTTCTTGTCTCATATAGGGCCCTTCTCTAAAGAAGCATCTGGATCTTGGTAAACTGGACTATGGGTTATACAAGTTTGTGTGGGAAAAGCCTTCTCGGCCCCAAGCTACTTTGTTAAATTCTTGCAACAGGTTGTCATCTGTTTGTAATCCTATTTCTGTTTCTAATATTGCAAATACTGTTTCTTCCACCTGTAATAAAGCTACTATGAATAAAATGGACATTGTTTAGCATTGTAGACTTGCTCATGTTCCTTTTATTAGAATGAAAAGTATTTTTGAAATATCTTCTGATATTTCTTCCACACAGTCTTTTCCATGTCATGTTTGTCCAATGGCTAGGCAAACTAGATTGCCTTTCCCTGATATCTGAATTCATAGCTCTAAGCCTTTTCAACTTATCCATGTTGACACTTGGGGGGACCATATCACACACCTACTTACTCAGGTTCTAAATACTTCCTTACTATTCTTGATGATTTCACTAGAAGCACTTGGACTCACTTAATGGGTTCCAAGAGTAATTCTTTCCCTCTTCTTAAGGTTTTTGTTGCACTGGTAAAGACACAATTTCATGCGACTATTCAGTGTATAAGTTCTGAAAATGCTTTAGAGTTAGGAGCTAGTAATGCTGATGTTTTCTTCTTTTTTGAACATGGTATAATTCATCAAACAAGCTGTTCTCACACACTCCTACAAAATGGTGTGGTAGAGAGGAAGCATAAAACTCTTCTTGAAGCTTCTAAAGCCTTGCTTTTTCAGTCTCAAGTTCCAATTAGATTCTGAGGAGACTCCGCACAACCACTTATATCATAAACAGACTTCCCTCTAGCTTGCTTCAAAATAAGTCTCAAAAGCCCAATTATTCTCACTTAAGAACTTTTGGCTGTCTTTGTTTTGCCACTGTTCCAATTCCTTAACGAGATAAATTGAAACCTAGAGCTAGTCCTTGTGTATTCCTTGGCTATCCCTTTGCAAAGAAGGGCTATAAGTTGTATAATTTGCAATAAACAATGTTTCATATCCAGAGATGTGGTTTTCCATGAGCAACATTTTCCTTTTTCCTTGGATTTCTCTTTTCCTGTTGTTTTTGAGTCCCCTTCGTCACCTGCTCCCTTACCTTCTTTTCCCCATGATTGTCCTTGTAACGACCCGACCGATCGTTTTGAGCTCTAGCACGTCACTCGACGGTTTGAGTCCATGAGCAGCTTCACTTCAGGTATTATGACTTATACGCATGGTCGGAATTGAATTTCGGAAAGTTTGGAGTTGATTTGGAAAGAAAATTCTAATTTCGGAAGCCTTAAGTTGGAGGAATTGACTAAAGTGTGATTTTTGAGTAAACGACCTCGAAATTGGGATTTGAAGGTTCCAACAGGTTGTATGATGATTTTGGATTTGGGCGTATGTCCGGATTGGGTTTTGGATCACCCGGGAGCGTTTCGACGCCTATTATAAAAATTGGCATTTTGGAAGAATTTTATAAATTTGGGTTGAGGTGTATTTCAATGTTATCGATGTCCGTTTGGGATTCCGAGTCTGGGATTAGCTCCGCATAGTGATTCTGGTGTTGGGAGCGCGTTCGGAAGTGGATTCGGAGGTCCATAGGTCATTTTGGGGTCATTTGGCGAAAGTTAGAAATTTGAAGGTTTT